AGTACATTGCTTTTAATTTTTTTTTTTTAATAGATACTCAATCACAGACTGTTAGTAAGGAATACTATAAATGCAGCACCACCTAGTGGTACCAAAACCACAGTGTAGTGTTTTCAGTGGTTTCGTTGAAGAAAATTACTTTGGAAACCATAGGGGAAACTCTCAGATGAAACTATTTTTAAAATACCCACATGGCATCTACATGTTTGGTTTTTTTTTTTTTTAGTTCAGCATGAACATGAATAAATAACATGTTCAAGCTCTGGGTATACCTTTACTTATTTTCTTTGAAAGGGAAAAAATATGTGAATGTGTGTATTAATCACAGAGGATAAAATATTTTTCTTTTTTTGTGCATCGATCTATATATATATATATTTTTAAATGATCAGGTATTAAAATAGTTACTACTCACACCTTCCCATCTAACTTTATTATTTATTGCTGCTGGTGTAAAATTTAGATGAAAACCTACATATGAATAAGTAATATCCAGCAACTTTGGACCTCTTCCCTAATATTTTCCAACACACATTCCAGTGAACCATAGTTTATCTTGCTTCACTATATACAGTCCATGACATAGATGATCACCTTGCAAAAATCAGAAGGGTCTAATGTGTAACACCAGTTGGACTTGTCTTCCATAGTGATTGTATTGGCATATGTATTTATGTCTGTCCTAAGTAGCTGTACAGTGCTATGACTATAACTTGGTATAACGTGGATTTTAAATCATCTTAGCATCTGCTTTTCACATGACTCTGTAAATCCTCTATTGATACCTCAGGAGGTGAAAAACCCTGCAACGCACCTGCCTCCGTGGGAGCCTGCCAATGCAAACTAACATTGTTCTGGAAAAATGAGAATTAATGGTATGTTATACCCCTTCAGAGTCTTTCTCTGGGCATGCATCGGGGAAGTTTGGCACTACCAAAGATGTAAATCTTTAGTAATTATATGACAGTATTTTTTTACATTATGAACGTGATGTGACAATGGAATATAGGAAGGAAAAAACAAACAAACAAAATCAATTATCAAAACCAGTAGTGGCCTTTTTTTTTTTTTGGTATGTGGTGCAAATAGCACACACATCAGGCACCCAAACTATTCTTGCCTCACCCCGTTTCTCTCGTCCGCCCCCATCCTACATGCAGTCCACAGCTCACCTCTCCAGTTCCTTAATTTTGATCTCATGTATGCTTCCATACATTATCTATTTGGTATAGCCCCAAAGCCTCCACTCTGTGACTCTCCTACTCCCTTTCCCCAGTCCTGTGCATGACAGCACAACTCTTCTGTTTCTAGCTCCAAACACACCCCCAGTGCCTACTTCTCTCATGTTCACAGCTGCCAGGCATGCTACTCTCCATCTTCACGGCCACATCAATGCTGAGGTATTTAAGGAGCTCATAAGTTTCATTCACCACTGGCATACAACTTTGCTGGAGTTGTGACTACTTCACCATTGACCTCATAGATTCCTTCCATGCCTATGTACCTACAACAGAGCAAGAAAAAAACAAAACAGACTGGCTAAATACAGTGATTCTAGTTAAACAATCACTTTACAGAATTCTTTTCACTGTGCTGCAACATTTCGTGGCTGGTTGGGTTTTGGGTTTTTTTTGTCTTCACCATTTCTCACAGTACATTTATTCTAAACTCTCATTCCCCTGATGGCTTGAAACTTTCTATACCAGTTTGTTCATTGCTAGCTGGTGATACTTGTTTTAGGCAAGCATTGCCTTTTACCTTAAGGAGTAAACACCTTAACTTCAAGGTATTTGAAGAGAACATTTATCTCCTTTCTCCATATTCACTTTTTCTAGACTTCTAGATGTCCTTGCAGACATCAGTGTTTCCACTACCTGCTATCTAATCCAACTGAAAGGAGCATCATCAAGTCAGCACAATTTTGTGTCCAAAGAAACAAATTCTGCTAAGCCTATGGTTACATAGCTTCCAGATGTGCCAGGGCTTGATCTGCAAGCTTGTGGTCTGCTTAAATCACAGGGAGGCAGAACAAAAAGCTTTAAAGTATAACCTTTTCTCCACTCACAGAAACTTTATTAACTGGATAATCTTAGTAGTCGCCTTACCAGTTCAAATCAAACTCCACCTTTCTTGAACACATAACCACACTGTATATAGCACTTAAGATACAGGCTCAGCTATTCTTCCCCAATCTCTGTCAGAGATACTTCATCTCATATATTCTAGGCTGTATTTTTCACTATTCCAACACATTTGCAATTTCTAGTCATCTGTGATTACCTAGGTCTTCCTCTACACATTTAATTTTCAACTGGTGAGCTCCTCAAATAAATTTTTTTTATTCCCTACATACATGGCTTTTGCTATTAAATTCCATCCCATCTCTATTACATTCTGGGTTCTGGGTTTTTTTTAATATATTTTTTTTAATACTTCATGCCTTCACTCTTTGTATCATTAATATTCTTCTATGTATTAAGCAATCACCATTAATCAAAACATTGCATTAGAGTAAGTCCTAGGGTATTTCTTGAGTAACTTTGCCAGTAACTTTCCTCCAGAATGACAGTAATGTTAATATAATATTATCTCTCCTCCAACCAGGTCATTACACACCTTAAAATTCTTGTATGATTCCCCATCTTTTCTAGCTGAACTAGTAATTTCCCATGTAGCAGTTCTATCCAACAAGTTAAAAACTTTAAGACACTAAAGAAAAATGCAATTATAAATAGCAATTAAAATGAGAACCAGGACTTGGAAATTCTGTATAAATATTTTATTAAGTATAAAAGACAACTTACATGGATAGATGCTCTATTAAAACAAATCACAGGCTTTCTGTTTTCATGAAAAGAATCAAATGCTTTAAAGAGCATTTTAGAATGCCTCTTCCCTCTTCTACAGTGATGTATTACTTAGGGACAGATACCAAGGAGCAAATGTACAGCAACATAGCAATAGCTGGTGTTTCTAATGATGCTATGACAATGGAAAAGGAGGGAACCATACAGAATCCAGAGTTGGATTCAAGGCTTGGGCCCTTTGATCCCCAAATCAACAAACACAGGCAGAGTTATGGAGTCAAATACTCAATCCACAGACTTTTAAATAGACCTTTGCAAAACATCTCCTTTGGAATGTCAGCTGGCTCTGGCAAATACAACTCTCTTCATTCTATTTAAGATAGGGACAATTGGAAATAACAATGGGAAAGAAAAAAAAAAAAGGAATAATGTGAAGCCCTGGAAAACAGCATCAGAAGGCAAGCTCATTCAAGGAAAAAACCCTCCACAGATTACCTGTTTTTCTTACAGTACATATACATGCTCAATACAGGAGTAACACTTTAAAGTCATCATGTAAACATTTAATCTTCTCACAGATCAGATCAATTTTGTTTAGTGTTGTTGTTTTATATATGAGATCCATACAAAGGAGATTTTTTTTTTCTTTTGTCAAGACCTTGAAAAGGCACTACAAAAAGTAACAAAAATACTACAACAATGTGACTGTAGTAGTTAGCTATGTGGAATGTCATGTACACCATTAAAACTACAGTGTTATTTAATTTGTAACCTGTCTTTGACTTTTTACAGCTAGATGAGCAAAGAAGAATGTTGTCATTTTAAAAACCGAGTTGCAGAATGTTTTTCTAACTCTGCATACATCTAAAAAGTTTACTATTATCAGTATGTAAACTACCTCACAAACAACAGTCAGAGCCTGACATGTAAACAGTTAACTATACATAATTACATAGTTAATTTCATATTAGGATATGTAGGTTTGAGCATTGTTCAAGGCATAACATGGTCCCAAGGTGTAAGTTTTCTCTCAAAAATGAGAACGTAAGGTTAGTGCAGTGATACTAAAGTTATCTAAAGACTAAAGTCTCATGCAAGAGAGACTTTTCTGTTAGTTGTCATAGGAAAAATAAAATAATAACTAAAAAAACCTTTCAGGTGTCCACTCCTTGTATTGGACACTACATAGTAAAAAAAAAAATAATGTCCAAATACTTCTGCAGTCACACTTCCATCCCACAGAAGGCAACTGTGCACCTGCCTATGGATACAGCATGTTATGATGGGAAGTTTCCAGTTCTTACTGCTGAAGAACTGTGAAGACGGTTAATAGTAGCATTTTAATTAAATGATAAAAATGTAACAACTACTTCATTTTTATTATTTACATTTGGTTTTGGCATAATATTAGCTAGATTAGTGAAAGTGGCTTGTGCTGTTCCACTCAGTTTATGCCGTGGTGATGAGGACAATGTCTGGGTTCATAACTGTACAATGTGACATTTAAACTTTTATTTTTAAGATTTTTTTTTAATTATATAGAAACATTTTATAAGGATTATGTTTGGATAAATTTTTAATTGTTCTGTATTTCAAGTCTAAACAAAGGGACATAAATTGTATTTTTTCTATCTTTAGTTTTCATATTACTGCATTAACTTTTTATTACACGCAGAGTAAATGTTCTTACAGACAAGAGAAAAATGATCTCATAATTTCAATGTTATGTGGAAACTTTTAAAAAACACTGGAGGATATGACACGGGAAAACATGAACTCATAAATGCAACTAATTTTCACATATTATATAGTAACCCTCTTGCTCTCAAACAGACTCAGCGAGTAGTTGACTTTTATGACAAAGCCGTGTAACAAAACCACTGAATGATACCGACATGTCTGAATTTAATTTTGTTTTTTTTCAGTGCATTTGTTGTTATTACTAGAAATCTTTCCAGGTAAAAAGAGATTCCAAGGGCAAGAAGGAATTTTTTCAGTATATATTTTCGTATGTGTAATTATCTACTGTAGGAGAGGTAATTTCTCTTATGTACTGGTAAAACTAAGGCAGAACATAATACTTGATCATTTTGCCAAATACCTACAAACCAGAGAACAAACGTGATTAAACATCCATAAGATCCAAGTCTGTTCCCATGAAAATCACGCAAGTATTTCCAAAACATTTGAGTCTCACTTTCTGTCAGAAAATCTCACATTGATGGAGTTTCCAGGAGTCAAAAGTCCATGGGTTTTGGCATGAACTGGTTTGGTTTTGGGAGAAATTTTGATCTCAAAATTCTGAAGCAACTGTGAAGATAAACAGGACAAGTATTAGAAAACCTGCAAAATTACAGATGAAGATTAGACTTTGGAAAAGAGAACATAACGGACTGTCACAAACAAAATACCTGCTGCCAGTTCTGTGGGGTCTAAGTGCTATAATTCCCACACAAGAAAGAAAAAATAGTTGTTACAAGGTAAAGATTATAGCTAAAAATCTTCCTCTTCTGATTGAGGGAGGACTCAGCCAGTCCTTTCCGAAGAATTTCCACACAACTAGATTAAACAGTCTGAGCTATCTAAGAAACTAAGGTCCCTTTCAAACCTTGCGAGCTTCCTCCCTATGTGTTTTTGATTTTGCTTCCTTTAATACAAATCAATATGTGCAATTATAAAACAAAGCAATAGAAGCGTCCCAATCCCATCACACACATTTCTCTTCCTGGGCAGAAGGAAACAAAACAAACATGAGACAGCAAGTGCACCAAGTGAAACAATCATCAAGGAGCCAAATAGTAGAACCTCTCCTGAACAGAATCACTGTAATTCAATCACACAGGTTCTCAATACATTAAACCTCTATTTCTATACACTTAATGAATGAAACTGAGAGAATTAGTTGCAAACATAAATCACAGAAATCGTGGGCTAAAACAAACTTCAAGAGATCTCACCTGTTTTGAAGCTGAACATAGAATACTTCAGCTATCTATTTTAAACTTTCAAGAAAAAAATACCGCAACATCCTCAGCTTTTCCTAATATTAAATCTCAAACACTTTTTCCTAAAAACTAAGCAATCTGCTCTTATCCTTCTCCTAGTAAGCATGGTAAACAATGCACTATTTTCCTATACTTAACTACCTTTTCAGTGTTAGAAGTTTGATCAAATTTTCATCTCATTCTTCTCTTTTTCAAGTACCTCATTCTTGGTGTTCTCTCCATCTTCTGAATTGCCTCCAATTTGACTGTATTGTCCTTAAAATGCAGCGCACAGGGTTGGTTGCGCATCATTGTCTAGCTGAGGATTCACCAGTGTTTGGTAAGACTGAGTAATTTAACTTCTCTTTCTGGCATACAACATGCTTGTTAATACTGTTAATACACGCAAGAATTACACTGCCTTTTCAGAATTAGCATCATTATTATTGTTGGCCGATTTTTTACTATACCCCTGCAGTCTGTTTCTATGGTACTAATTACCCAGCCAGCTGGTCAGCAATTTGTATTTATGCATTTGATTTCTTCTCAAGAGCAGTAACTTGCAACTGTCCTTAGTGAACAATTTTGTGTTGATTCTGGAATATTTCTCCATTTTTTCATAATTCTATATTCACATCCTCTGATTTTAACTTAGTACATGTCAGCTTGATATCCTACACAAACTCTAAAAGTATTCTCTAATCCATCATTTACACTGTTCATGAAAATACCAACCTAAATCAAATGCAGGACAGACTCTTATAGAATTTTAATTAAATGTTTTCCCAGTTCAACAGCAAATATTTGACAGCTACTGCCTCCAGCTATTTCTTTTTTCCAACCAGTTGTGCATGCGTTTTATAGATACTTCCATCTGGAACAAACTTTATTTAATTTAATTGTGGGAACAATGTTTAGGACATATGAAAATACTTCCTGAAGTCAGAATACATGATTTATTTTATATCCACCACATTAGGTAAATGATCAAGTCAAAGAAAGAAATCAGACTGGTCTGACATGATTTCTCATTGATCAGCTCCATGCTTCATGTGTTTCTATTTTTAAATTACTTAAATATCATCTCGATTCTTGTAAATAGGTTGTGTGCTATTTTGTTGTAGTTTCTTTCCAGAAAACAAAAGCAGGCTCTCTATTACTTCCTTGATCCTCGTTTTCAAAAAGATGCAAGTATGTTTGTTTTATCCAGCCCCCTGAGAGCTATCTCACTCTGAGTTCTGAAAGACAGATGCTAATTGTTCAGAGATTGCTCTAGGAGTTTACTTAAGGAAATTCTAAGGCAAACTCAATCAAGTTTGCTTTGAATACATATAATAGGTCTAAATATTTTTATAGTTAAGTAACTATAAATAGCTTCCAAATCTTTGAGGTTTGATTGCACAATCTGATCTCAATATTTAAGTTAAAGGGTGTCTTGTAAATGACAAAAAATGTAGCAGCTGTTGGGAAAGCTTTCTTTATGATATGAAGCAATGGAAAACAATATATATCAATATGTACTAACTATTTCTATAACTATAAATAATATATATCTAAAATGATAATAAAGTTAGAAGAAAGAACAAGAAGGGACAGAAAACCACAGAACACGGAAAAATTCTACTATTTGTCTTAACATTGTGGTCAGTAAAAGGATGTAAAAACTATTTTACACCTTTGTAGTACTGAATTCTTCGTAACTAAAATACTGAAACTGAGCAGGTAACTATTCTAATATACATTAAGAAAGATTTCCAATTTGCTTACAAAAACCTTCTGTACTAAATCCGTAGATTTCCTTAACAGTCTTACCTTTAGTTTTACTCCATTTGTACTACAAACACCTTTTCTTCTGCAATGTAGTTTAACTAGTATGCTACATTTCAAGCATGATTATTTTCATTTTTTAAGCCTTTGCAGGATGAGTATGCTAGACAACACTCCAAAACAAAGTTTTTGAGCACTCTAAGTTATCCAGAAATGGTATACATAGAAAATTATCATACCAATATATTTTTCTTCTTGTAATGCTGTCACATAGTTCTAACCTGAATCAGTGCAAGATGAATTTCCAGCTCTGCAATTCTTTTTCCTATACAGCTTCGAATGCCATAGCCAAAGGGGATGGAACCAAAATTGTCTACTCTGTCCAAATTATCTTTCCTCAGCCAGCGCTCAGGTCGGAACTCATTTGCCATTGAGAAATTTTCTTCGCTGTATGAAGTAGCATAATGACAGAGTGCCAGCTGCGTCTGAGGAAATAAATTATATTTATATTTAGCTAACTCCAATACACATCAAAAAATAAAAAAGCATTTGTAATTACTGTAATTTCTGCAACATGAAGTGATAAAAACTAAGTATCTTTCAGTAATTCTAGAAGAAAAAAGGATGCCTAGAAAATCAGATCCCTTTCTCAACTGGTCAAATGAAATAATCTCCAAATTGTTTTAAATGAATTATATTATAATATATAATATACTTAATATATTCATTAAGTATATTATTGAATTAAGAATTCTGACTGTTTTAAAGCCACGTTGCTCTAACACAGAAGTGCTGTCATTTAAAATAGAGCCGTACAGTTCTACCATGATCTCTGTGTAATCTTTGAATAGTATAAAGAAAAGATTCATAATTTAAAAAGGAAATTAAACTCTTTCTACAAAGGGAATTAACACGCAAAGAATTAGAAAACCACAAGAATAATGAAATTTATGCTTTTTTAATCCATTTGTAGCATTGCAGGAAGATGTTATTAATAGACTCCACCCTGAAGAATATTAAGAACAAGTCATGATGGTAAATTTCATTAGCAGGTGAGGACTAAATCTAAACAAACCCAAACAACAGCAATAAGTCAATTATAAAATCCATTTTTGTCATATAAATGGGTATTATGGGAAATAGCTTCCTCTTAACGCTCTAGCTTGGTGAAATCTTTTGAAATCAATGAAGCATATATATGTTGTAATTGTATTTCATACACAAAAATTAAACTGTGTTCTCTGCAGAGGACTGCAATAGAACCTACCCCTTTAGGTATCAAGTATCCTCCAATGATCAAGTCTTTTTGGGTCACTCTTCCATTTCCCGGCAATACTGGATATAACCTAGAGACAAATATTTGTGAGAAGTTCAACAGTAATAACTAGTACAACTTTAAAAGTTTAGATTCCAATTTGCATTCACAAATATACAATACAAATGCAATATGCATTCACAGCAAAAAGGTTTTTCAAAAGTACAGAACACCTTGGAGATTCAAGACCTTGAATCATCTGTAAGAATATGATTAACACCTGAAAAAAGTTATTTACTTGTAGCTGGAAGTTGAGCTATGTGGTCTATGTATTTATTTGCTTTACACATGTAAAAACATGCAATCAATTGGTCAAGCTGGAGATGTTTTAGCACTACTGGGAGCTGAAAAAGCCTTGTTGATGCCTTCTCTAAAATCCTCTTATTCCCCTCACCTCACTGTGAACGCTTGGTATAAACATGTAAAAAAAAGCATGTCACATGCCTTCAATTTAAGTCAAGAAGCTTAAAATGATTGTAGTGGCACTGCAAAGTACCAGCGTGGGGGAGGAGGTTGTTACAGTCCATCATACAGACTAATACTTAAAAGGCAAAAATCAAGCTTTCAATTACCTACCTTAACAGACATGTCCTACATATATGATACTACTTCTACCATACTTAAAAATATTAAACATTATATAATCTATCATATTTCATTGCTTAGGCATCCTTGGAAACAATACTGCTACAATAAATAAAACCAGAAGCAGCAAATAGCAGTAATGACAACTAAATACAAATGTTAGCATGGACTCAAAATCCATTACAACTACATGGAATTAATTTTTTTAATTAATGATTGCAGTTGTCTGTACTTACCTCAAGGTTTCTTTCAGCACAGCTCTAATCAAAGGCAATTTCGGGACATCATGAGCAAGAGGAACTTGGTCTTTCCCCAGCTTATTGACTATTTCCTCATGAACACGTTGTTGAATCTCAGGGTGCTTTGCCAACAAGTATGTTGCCCAGGACAAAGTAAAAGAAGTCTAAGCAAGAAACCACAACCATCACCGTCAAGTCCAACAAGATTAGATTAAAAATAATTTCAAGCCAAGAAAAGCAATCAGTTTTCAACTATGTGTTTTATACATCTGAAGTTATAAAACAGACTGGCAATGATTCACATCTGGACTCAATGGGATGTTGTCAGATTTCACAATCCCCTCCTCCATCCCCTTTCCATCTAAAAATCCCCCACATATCCAAACAATCCATGCTGATATTTTCCCAGTGAAATATAAAAAGCAACAGAAAAACCAAATGCAAACAAAACTACATAAACAACACTGAAACATCAACACTCTAAACAGCAATGGATTAAGTTAACTGTTAGTTTTCAATAGGTATTTCACCTTTCCTCCCAACAAAAACATTTCACAGGAAACAAGATAAGAGAATACTACTCAGAACATTACTAACCCCTTTTAAGCATATGGTGGTCTCCTCATAGCATCCACACAACAGAATTTATACTATCACTGCTAAGATTATACTTTATCCTTTAGTAAGCAATGCTACACCACAACTGGCACTTTCTATCTCTTGAGAATTCCAACTTGACTGAAATTAAGCATCCAATTGAAAGCTTTCTTAAGGAAGCTCAAAGAGGAGCTCATACATTTAAAGGGGCCCAAAAATGTTAAAATACACGTGTCCCCCCTCCCTCCTTAATGATTCTAATAATCATTAAGGCTCCAGGAAAGAGGTACTGTGTGAAAAATCATTTAAAAATATTTTATACGAAGGAAGAAACAGAACACAACGCAGGAGACAGTTCAACTTTGAGACTTTGAGCACCAGATGATTTAAAGGAACCCATCATCTAATCCTTTTTCACCTCAGCTGGAAAAATTGCGCTTCAGTGCACATTTGTGGTTTAGGACACACTCTGGAACCATGAATTCACTCTGTCTGTAGTAACATGGAACTAAGTAGAGTATTTCAACTCTTTTAAGTTTTTGTGATCCACTACTTACCATTCATTTAACGATGAGTCCCTGTGTTTAAACTACCTGGATTTCAGGGACTATCCCATTCAAATACTAGACAGACTCAGGACATTTTGCTTCTGCTAGCAGCTGCACCCAAGACATTAAGGTCAAGCAAATGGCCTTACTCGAGCCCGTTTCCCTCACTGAAGACAGAAAATTTACCATGAAAAAATGTATTTTCCATGTTCCTGAGTAAGTATGGCAGAGAAAGTGACAATGCAATCATTCTGTTCCTTACCTGTGTTGTTCTTGCTATCTTACAACATTTAAGAGAGAAAAATTGTAATTCCTACCCTAATTTTCTTGAATTATTTTTAAATGTATTTTTTTCAACTTGTGTTACAAAGACAACCAGTATTGCTTTCTACACAGGAAACAGCTTTATTTTAGCTTCTCACTCATTAGCACAACAAAGCTTAAAGGTTGTAAACAATGTATGGGAAAAAACCCAACTTCTGGAAATGTCTTATTTTGGGCTTACAATTAAGATCAATCTAGAATGCAAATTCATCATGACAGTGACCTTTTATGTCTTGTCTTCCAACTGGGATATAATACTAGAAGTATCATTCTCAAAACCTTTCTTTTTTTTCTTGTAATATTGAGTGGCTGTCCCTTGCTAAGATGCAACCCTGTTCTATTCCTCTCAGAGCTCAGAAGAGCTGGCAATTGTGCCAGATGTATACAGAACTTCTCTGATATAAACACTGTTTCTTCCCAGGTTCCCAGCTCCTTCATAACCTCTTAAAAATTAGCGCTGTTCCAGGGAGAGCCAAAATGCTTTGTAGCCAAAAACTGCCTTACAATTCTGTTGAAAGCTTTTATAATCCTCTAAACCTCTTTCACTTTCTATGATAAAATGAGATCTGAAGTAACAGCAGTAGGGGAAAAAAAGATTCCCTCAATTTCTGTCTTGTACTTGGAAATGAGGAAATCAGAAGTACCGTCCTCTCACAAAAAGATTGTTGCCAGCTGAGAAAGCTGAGTCAAACAGAAAGAGAAACTCTGGCTGGCATGAATTTGAACATTGTCCTTTTACTTTAATGAGAACTCTGTCACACAATAAAAATGGAAAATTAATGGTCTGAAAGATTAGAAAATGAATGGGATGAATAACTGTGCTTTACTTAAGAAACAAACATCAAAAAGTTCTCCAAACTCATAAGCCCTTGGGATATTTAACCAATGGAATAATCTTCAGCACATAAATAAGCTTTACATGTACTCCTTATTTCGGAACTCAAAAGTATTACTCTTGGGGTTTTATTTTTGTTTTCTTTAGAAACCTTACAAACTTTCTTAAATCAAAAAAATCTGAATTCAATTAGAGATGGCCACTTAAAACGCTTCACTACGTGTTAACGTATTGTATATATATTGAGCCCCATTACCACAGCTCTTTGCCTCAGACTGACTGTATATTGCCAGCATAAGCATGGGTATAGTGAACTTACACCTTACCCACATTAGTGCTAGCCTAACACGCCCCTCCTAACGGACTTCAGCAGAAACCAGGTATCTGATCCATAATGTGTGTCCCAGTTGATTTAACTAGCCATACATGAAAATCCTTTACCAAATTCTACATATGAGTTTATTGATCAATTTTTTTTCACACTATATTTCAGCAGCCTTTTCTACTGTGGTCTACCTAAAGAAGCACAAATACCAACCTGATATTCAAACTAGTAAAAGAAAATATATGAAACTGAAGCCGAATGTGAAGACAATTGCTATTTTATCTGTTCAATAAACTGTGGAACCAAATCCCAAATGATGGGTTCCTGTAAACCACAGCTGGAACAGAACACTGACTTCATTCCAGTAGAGAGATTACACAGTGCTGTAAGTATTTTCTATCACTTCAAAGATGTCATGACTTAAATGTGTCAGAAATTATGTCCTTATAAACAACATAACCCCCCTGAAGATAGCTGTGAATGGTACTGGTTTATGAAAACAAGTGTGCACAGGAAAAATGATAACAAGCTTACTGTGTCCACTCCTGCCAGAAGCATTTCAGTCATATTGGCATAGATCTCTTCCAAAGTAAGTTCCTTACTCACTAGAAGGTATGTAAGTAGCCCACCATTCACTTCTTCTCCTTGGTCCAGCTGAGACTGGATAGCCTTCAATTTGTTGTCAACATGGATTTGACCTTTAGGATTCAAAAAAATTGTTAAGCTTCCATTTTTATTTTTCTGCTGGTTCCATGCAGTAATGCCATTTCTCCCTTATGCTACACTACATAGCATGCCCTCCCCTCCCCCCAAAAAATATTTTTGAATTTGAATCTATTTTCTCAGGAAAAAGATAATAAGAGTGGTGGTGGAGGTCCTTGGGTACTCATTGTAAGGAAAGACTGAGCTGACAGGAACCTTGGTAGCTCACAGCATGAGAATGCTGAGCATGAAGAAAGGACACAAGAGACTATAGTTTCTGACATGGAGTGAAGGAAGCTCAAGGTCAAGTTTTTACGCCCACCGGGCTTGCTTTCTGACGACTCTGCAAGAAGTGGTGAACTCTGCAGAGCATGCTGCAACTCAGCACACACAGGCTGCTACAAGATGTTAGCAGCAACTGGAAGGTCAAGCCACAGTACTGAATTACACTGAAAACAAAGATGGAGAGCATCAAGTAGTAACAAAAATTGAAAAACTTCAGTGAATAACATTTTGAGCAATTTCGTCCGCAGTCCCATTTACACTTTAGTGACTACAAACAGCATCTTCAGTGAAAGAAGGGCTTTAAAAAAAGGAAAACTCCTCAGAAAATTAATGCCTCACAGAATGAGCTTACAAAAAAGTGAACTAGAATCAACATATTCCTTTATGAAACCTACACAAATACACATATTACATACAGTGATTTTCATCATTTAATTCCTTTTTCACAAAGTGATTAAACAAAGAAACAGCATGACAACAAGTTTCAAACCGAACAAATTCCTCAAGAACAGTTTTTCAGCTGCTGTTAGGATAAAGCTGAAGTCTGCTGTTGTTTTTAACCCACAAAAGGGAACAAGAGAACTTTATCATGGGAAATAACTTAGAAGTGGCAGTGCAAAAAAGTATGTGTTTCACAGAAAATACACCTGTATCAGCATTAAATGGATTCCCTAATGCCTACTAGAAGTACAGATCAATACATATTAAAAATTAAACCTATTACACATACTAAAAGTTAAGAAACTAAAGAATCTACCTTCAAGAAGACAAACACAGACCTACCTAGACCAATAGTGCTAATAAAATAAATTTAAAAATGCATGCAGCTTTCTACCATTAGAGAGGGAAAGAGAGTTAGGGGTTTTTAACACTCCAGAATGTTAAAAAAAAAAAATCTATATTGCAAAGACAACTCTTTCTTCTTACTTACATGAAAGCTGATTCATAAAGTAGCCTGGAATGCTTTATTTACAAAAAAACATACTGTAGTACAGCAGTCTACTTCTATGTCAACTTATATGCTTGTATGTGTATATATAAACTTCACAAAGAGTTTAATTAATTGCTAAAGTCTAATTTTTTACCCTTCTAGTCAGTTTTAGTGGTGATTATTTGTCAGAGTGCCTGACTGAATACTTGCTGAAGTCAACTAAACTACCCTCATTAAAATTTGAGTGGCTTAAGATAAAGCCTTGGCAAAGAACTTGGACCTGGAGTGAGGACTGGGTACTGAAACAGATGAAGACAAAAAAAGAAACAGCAATATAAAATAGGGGAATATTTAAAGCGTACAGGTAAAATTCTTTTTTCAATAGAGTGTTTTTTAAAACGGTTCCCTTGGCCAGTCTGCATTTAATATTAAACTTACTTCCGCCACCATGTCTTCTTATAATTTTAGAAAAGAAATGCAGCGAGTCCTGTTCAAACACACACAGAACCTGCAGAAATACAGCTGAACTTTTCTACTACTAAATCTTACTAAATTTGAAGAGTCCATCCCAGGATTTGCAGAACTCTCTCCAGGGTTTTGGAATAAGTGGACGAAGCCATTTGGGAATAGCACCTGCATACATAGTGGTCTTAAACATACTAAACATCAACTCCAGAGCCTCAATATATTCAACAGTCTGCTGTGGGACGTTGTTTTCCAGGCAGCCCAACCGGCATTCATACAGAATAGTTGCCACACCTGCACATACGAAATCAAAGAATTTGCTATACACATGCATATATACATATTAATAATTTAAGGAATTAAAATGCTACCATAATGGAACTACCTTCCAAAAATATTTAGTTATTATTACTGCAGTTGGGAGCAGATCAAATAGAAATTTAAAACACAGTAAAAAAATCCCAGCTAAACATCATAGGGAGACAGTGGTTACAATGTCAATAACGCTCAGCATGAGAAAACAGCCAGGAATTCCACCGGCAGTAGAGCAGCCCTCCAGCATGTTTGCTGTGTTTCACATTGCACCGCTAATCCTGAGCCTGCCGTGTTGGCCTCTGAATACACAGGGACATACAAGTCCAAAGACATTTCTGGTAACTTGTGATAACACAGGAGTTTCTAGCAGTGGCTATACCTTTCTTTGTCATAAGCTGGTAGTAAATGAATAATGAGTATGCATAAATGGATAAAGAACTTGCACTCTAGACAGTGATTTTACTGCACACAATACACTCCATGTGGCCCTAAAAAACAGCAAGTGCGTGACACTATTCCAAGTGACAATACTGACTCCTCTCTTGTTCCTGACTGGCTGTAATTTTCTCAGATGCTTTTCTGCAGTACTGCAGTGATCCCTACTGGGAATACCATTCCCTTTCCTCCCCTCAAATAACAGTGCTTTATATATATTTTCATTAAATTCTTCTTCTCCACTTGGGACCATTTCTTACATTTATCAAGTTAATCCTTACCTGTCCATTAGTGTCCCTGCAATCTCTCAGCTCAGTTTTTATAAACATAGCCAAATTATCAAATACTAGACAGAGCTCAGCCGGAAACTGCCCTACTGGAGTTAGCCAAAATGTTCTCTCAGTTTGACAGAAAAACATTTCTTAATTACTTCCTGAACACAGGTTTCTGGCAATTTTTCCTCCCAGCTTGCAAAATCTAGATCATATTGCCCAGTTTATTTATTAAAATATCACATGTTATGGTATAAAAAGCATTCCTATTGTCAAAATAATCTTATTTAATGATTTTTCTAAAATCCAGTGAGGCAATTAGGTAATTTAAAAAAAACATTTAGATAATTTCTTAAAGCCATTTGCATCAAATCAGAAGTTTTTAAATAAATTTTGTGCTTTCATATTCATTAGTTAATAGTTTGTCTAAATCTTTCCAGGAAATATTAGAATAACTGTTAACTGGATAACTAGAGTAACTGGTCTATTAACACTCTAATCTCTTTTTTCTCTGTTTTTCCTATTAAAAGCAGGTACAATAATGATGTTTAACCTTGATCCTGCCCTCCATCAAACTCTCCATAAATTCTCAAGTATATATACATAGAGATATTTTAAGAAACTTTTCTTTTTCCCTGTTGTTTGCTTTGTATTTCTTCTTTATGGACAAAAATAATTTTAAAAACTGGCTATTTTCAACTCACTCTTCCTTCCCTAATTTTCCTCCCTGGGAAGATATTTTTCTGTGCCTTTTATTTCTCTCGTGCCTCTTTCAGCAACTGCTAGTTCTTATGCATTCTTCTGCTCTTTACATGGTCCTTTCAAAAAAATCTTACATGTTGGTTCCCTGAAGAGCTGACAGTGTAAGTTAATTAAAACTGCAATTCATATAGGAAATAAGTGCGTGCCAGGCACAAGTTATAAATGAAAAGCTAAAAGAATGTGAAGAATTTAAACTAACCCATCAGTGAAAGTGAATCTGTAAGCTCAGAGTTTAAAATTCTGTAAAATTGGTAACTCTTAGTTTAATGCCATTTTTAGACACTATTCATGCAGAACAGACTGAGGTTAGTTTACCAAACAGGCAGCCAGCAATTTGATACAGCATCTTCATAGGTGAGCAGTTTGGAAGTTCTTGCAAATCTCAAATTATTCAGCTGCCTGTCAGCAAAGAGTACCAATGTTTTTAAAAGGCACTATGTATAACTAGATCAGGTTGTATGCAGTCAGTTGAAGGAATGCATGAAGTATGAATCACTGTTGGTTTTCTATAAGACCATGGGAAATGCCATACTAGCTCAGGCTGTAGTTCCATTCAGCGTTCCCTCATTAATGGTAGCCAGTGGCAGATGATTCTAAGGCAAGCATAACAATCCCACACTTGGCACGTGTAGGCAGGGTAAAGCAGTATCTTCTCCCACATTATGCTATGAACAGAATTTACATACATCACACAGTGATTCCTCACCTGGAATTTGGCCAGTATGTTGTCAGATTAACATGTCTTAGAAGTCACACTGTCAGAAGGTCAACACCCTTATTCTTGAGAAATTCATACAGAAATATGGAGTACTGAAACTGCTCAGGGCCTTGATTTTACATTTTACCTATATACCAGCAATTCCACAGGAATTGTCCCTTAATACAAGGTATCATCTCTTTGGACTCTACAAAGGAATTCCACTGATATCTACTGCACTAAGTAGGAAGACACCTGAGTGCAGAACAAGCTTGCCTTTTCAGATCAAGCACGATGGGGCACTAGCCATTTGACAAAAATGCCTAACCATAAGCACACTGCTTTATATGCATTTTCTTTACTGATATTATACAGCCTGGGCTTACCTTCCATTGAATACTTGAAGAAAAGGTTGTTAACATTGGTCACTGTTTCCCCATCGTCCTCTTGACTTCTGAGGGTGTGGATTCTTTTAATTAAGTCTGTGATAACTTCATTGACTCCTTCAGAGTAAACAGCCACATCTTTGGGTTTCAGAATTTTTTGCCTCAGTACACTTCTCATTTTTAGCCACTGTTCCCCCTCCCTAGAAGAAATTATTAATAACGTCTATACACAATTTTCCTTAACAATCATCACCCGGGTAAGAGCTCTGCAATGAAACTGTTTATGATTTTTTTCATGTCAAATGAAAGCAAGTGGTGAAATGAAAATGATGATAACATATATTTGGTATTATGCTCCTACATTTTTATTCCACATTTATTGCACATCCTCATTAAATTTCAGTGTTGCAACATGTACATGCATGTGTAAGTCAATCTCTAGTTTGAGTGACAGAACTTGTCCACTCAGTGTGCTGAATTTGACAAGTATCTCTGTATTAGTATTTTAGTAGCAGCTAACACAAGAAATTAGCAAAATTTGCTTATTAAAATTACTTTAAATAAATATTTGAATGGATAGTCTGCAAAATCGCTTTTACCTAGAATTGGTGCTTAATTACCAAAGAAAGGTATCACATTCAGATCTGACAAATCAACAATTTGAGCTAGTACCTTAAATTCCACTACTGATACATCACTTTCAGTTACCCTAATTCTAAACCTACAAAGGAATAGGATAGCAGACCTAGCTATAGAGAAACAATTTACAGCTAGATTCTCCTTTAGCTGAGTTATCTATTGAAATCTTTGTGCTGAAGACTAAAAATCTGAATTGCAGCATCTGCATACTTCCTATGAGCAGAGTATTTGGGAACAGTGGTTCCAGGGATATCTTTCAATTCCTTATGAAGACAGGCAATTGTCTTTTATGCATTTATTTTAAATTGCTATGTATTTCCCATTAATTTTTTTCACCTGGAGCAATGCTGCTGCAGGGTACAGAAACTTATTGGCCAGCAAAAGAATTTAATCTCTTTAAACAGATACTTTCTGACTATCTCTTGATTTAAGATCTCATCTCACAAAACATCAAGAAACTGTTAGTTTGACTCTGAACTGCGGCTTAAGATTTGAGTCTGCAGTGCAATATATAATGCCTTTTGCCACCATGAAAGAAACAGACTGTCCATGACTCAGGAAATTAGTTTCCCTCTAAATAAACATCCTATGTCAGTGGGGACTGTGAGTAGTTCCCAGTGGCAATTAACCACACCCACATGCACTGCCAATTTATGCAAGCCGTAAAGACAGATAACTCTCTACAATCAGCCACATACAAAAATATCTGCACGAGGATGCACAACAGTGTGAATTTACCATACAGTAAGTTCTTTGCATTAATCTACTGAGGGGGCACTTTGGTGAACAATAAAGCTAAAGCCAGCCTGAGCCAACAAGTCCACACAGCACACTGCCAACCAGATGCAACAGTCTAGATCTGAAGCATTAAAAGCACAGTTTGCACGGTGCTGTGCCGAAGTTTGTAATCCCTATTCTGCAATACTGCTTCCAGGTAAGTGAGTCAGCTCAGACAATTCTAGCTGATACACACTCCCCAAGAATGTTTTTATGCAAGGCAGCTTGCTCCGCATTCAAACTACACATCACTACCATCCCTTTGAAAATTTACAGCAGAACATTCCCCATAAATTCCTATGCTCTTCCCCCCACTAAACACACAAATTTCCCCACACAGTAAGGCCTGAATTCCCAAATGACCTGTACAGTCCTTCAGAAAAATCACTAAACTTTTACAAGAAAACAAAGAAAATTAAGGAGTAACAACACTTACGCAGAAATAAGTCCCGTGGCTCTCCCTCGTAGGTCTCTGTATTCCTGCCAGGATTCCATGTTAGCTCTTTGTGGTGCTCTACCTTCTGCTCGGAGGACTTGAGCAACCATATCTCGATCTGCAATGGATACAACAAACTGGGGACCAAAGTGAGACTTGAAGATCTTTCCATATTCCTGAGTGTGTTTTTGCTACAATAGCACCAACAAAGAGAAACAGAAGTAAAGTATTACTAAGGAAAATTAAAATAAAAGGAAACTGACAAATTTGTTATACAGTGAATCAATCTATCATATCTAGAACTTGATCCACAGCCTTCCGGTCAAGGAATGGTTTGAAATGTCAGGAGAAAGCATCTAAGCATTACTGTCAAATATTCACAAGGAAAATGGAGAGGTCACACCATTCAGGGCCTCTGACTGAGAAGACCCAAAGCTCTAAGGCACAAAGCATGAGTGAAACCAAATACTGGGACGTGGGGCACTTAAAAATACATCCCTTCAGATCAAACAGGTTAGAAAGAATGTCTGAAAAAGTGAAAAACATGGAGGTAAATAGGGTGAAATTAACAGTATAATACAAAGACATAACAATTTACTTTTAAAGTCTTTTGTAAATAAAGACTTAACTCTACCATTTTATTCTTTACAAAAAACTACGTATAAGTTTCTCACACCTAACCGACGACAATGATAGCATAGCAGCCTAGTGAAAAACTGTATTTTCTCACAGCTTTATCAGCAGTGAACGTTAGAAAGACATATGTTAATTCTGCAAAAGGACAGAAATGTTGAGGTCTTATCCCTGCAGTGAGGTTTATTTAGTGGCTGATCCACAAGTTGTATGATTCAAGCTGAAGGCAAGGAACAGGCAATTAAGAAAGAGGATTGGAAAACATTAAATTATGCATAAAAAAAACCCCAGAAGTTTCCCAGTAAGATTGCACTATCATTTCAAACAAATTTAATTCCGACACGGTCATCAAATTAAACACCCAATTCCCACGAATTCACTTGGAGTAGAGGTACGTCATAATTTTAGGGGAAAAACACCTAAACTGCAAAGGAGTTGTTAAAGAGATATTATTAGGACTTTAGATTTAAGAAAGCTGTAAATTTTAAAGCCTTTATTTCAGGTTAAACTAGCAAGACAAGATAAACTGACCAAAGTTTAACTTCGGCATGTTACCTGCATCTAATCCAAAGACATCTGCTTGCAAAGTTATGTTGATGATAAATCAAACATGTTTGATACAACTACACTAGTGGAAGTCTAGTGTTGACTGAAGATTAACTTATGAGAAATACTTTTTTAATCAGTCTTGGTTACAGAGATGAATTGTTTAATTGCCAACAGTAAGTTTACATATGAATCACTCTTCAGCATATGGTACCAAGGGCTTATAAAAAAGTAACTCTTTTTGCCTGGTTTCCAAATAAAACAAGAGTTATGCAATTGTGGTCTCTGCCAGTCTCCTCTTAACTACTTTTGGAACACAACAGCCAATTTCAGTCAAGTTTAACAGAGAGTTAAAGGTCTCCTACAACTATATTCTTGCCATTTTCAAAAACCAGCATCTGGATTCAAATGAGACATACATATTAGTCACCCTGATGAGGGAAATGCTACAGTAGGATCTCAACTGTTACCGTTTCTGCTTGGTCTGCTGCTAACCAAACACCACATGCAGACCAATGTATGAAGAAGCACTCCCAAAACCCAAAGTAGCTCTTGCCTTGGAGATATTTTAGGGATATTGAAACTGAACTTGGAAAGAATTCAGAGCATGAGTCTTTAAAGGAAAGCATGAGTTGGGAGACAAGTGCTGCAAGGAAAAGGCAGGGGAGTGAGGGGGACACAGGTCACCAGTCACAGAAAACAGGTTCAACAAATTTTGCTATTTTATGGAGCAGCTTGTTTTTTCCACTGATGGTGAGGTTTACATGGGAGCATAAACTTTAACAGAAAACAAATCAACTGTTGAGCCATCCAATCAAATAAATGAAATACTAGTTTTAAACCAGAAACAGATAAGGACAAGGTATTTGAACGTCTCTTGCTTTCAACAGAATGATGTTCAGTGTATCAACTTCATGTTTAAAGAAATGCCCGGAATTTCTCTTCAATATTTTCTATCACAACATAGGTTTTCTTTCCCTTGTTCCAAACCTTAAAAATACTACACTTTAATGTCTCACATACCACTCTCACACCAGACATTCTTTCACACATCATAAATTCAAACTGCCAGCATCCAAACCCTCCCCCCTCACCTTTCTTTTCTTTATAATTGCATAGCACTGATGAGACAAAAGAGATCTAACCCCATCAAATTAAAAATACTTTCCCTTTGTCATAATTGCTGTAGGCATTACTGCTTTGGCCAGGACTAACTGGAATCATGTTACTGAGAACAGAACCTCCTTTGTGAAAAAGTCCTTGACTTCCCCACCCCTTCTGCATATAGCGTACAAATACTTGTGTGTGCCGAAGGACATCGTTTAAGTAGCCGTGCTGGTTACCAAAGGGTTTCAGATTAATTCATTCCTGATGTTCACTGTATTGTTAAATTTAAACAGACTGTTATTAATCCAGTTAATGCCTATTTGCATCCAGCGTGTATGCAAACAGGGCATCCATGACTTGTAAAATGATTTTTGAGACTCTATACAGAATAAAAACTAGTATCGTATTACAACTCCTCCTTATCCTTCCTCCCGCTTCCCTTTTTATGAATAACACTCGTTAAAGAATCTATCCGTATCAGCTAGTGATAGTGAAAAACATATACTATTTAGGTTGTCTTATATTCCTTTTAATATTTTGAATAATTTTCACTGTTTTGACTGTCAAAGAACTTGAACTCAGTGGTAGCATTTTTTTTTAGTGTTATGAGACTATGGTGAATGCCTCTCAAATTCTGTACACCACCACAGAAGCAGAGAAAAAAAGAAATATAATGCAACAAAAAGCTCTAGCTATCATGAAGTTTCATCTGCATGCATCTTGGTTAGCAAGCAATTAAGTTGAGCAATTCATCATCAGCAATCTAGTTTGGCTGCCATCAAACACAGTGTACACTGAGGAGCCTAACACTTTTTTTTAGAAATCTAAATGGTAAATAAAACAAAGCCAGACAAAACCAAGCAACTTACGTGATTTTTTTTTTCTGTTTCCTGCCTCTTTCTGGTGTTTTTAGGCCCTTTGCAAATCCTAACTTTTGAATTTTGGTTCTCAAACCATTTAAAGTTCTGTCCTGTTCTCTTTGGTTTCCCTTCTCTGTTTTTACTTCCCTCTAATTTTTGTTATTTCAGTGATTTTCAGGCACTGAACGTCTTAGGCTTGTCTGTGAATCTCTTCCTAACGATCTGGGAAAGGTCACTAAGAAAAACAAAATAATAAATGCCACATTTGAGGTATTCCCAAAGAGATCTGTACTGCCAGTGGAAAGCATTATGGATCCACAACTGCAAAAGGGTGAAAACCACTGCTTTACTCCCTCAAACACAAGTGCTCGCTTTAGAATCACTTGGGCTACCTGGGAAGGGGCCCCAGGAGATGCACTGTGACTTCTCAGGAATGAAACCCACGTGTTTGGCCAAGCAACCAGAAGAATTCATTTTTGGCTAGAGACAGCCTTATGGTAAGACACTTGCCCATGCCAACATCCAAGAAATGCAGTACGGAGGACGAATACTCGCCCGCCCAAGCCCTGATGTCCCAAGCACGGATAACTGTCCTTCACCCACCTTCGCCGGGTGCGACTGAGGAAGGGGACCCGCCGCGGCCTGCGGACCACCCCCCAAGCGGAGGTGCCCAAACCACAGAGGGCGGTCCTCAACCCCCGCCCGGGTTCAGCCTTATTTTACCGCCTCCCACCCCACCGCCTACCCCACAGCTGCCGCACGCCAGGTGACAGGAGCCGCTCGCCGCCC